AGAGTTGAAGCAAACCTGTAGTTGAATGAAAATTATTTAATAGAAGTGCCAAAAGTGCCCCCCCCCCCCCCATCCCATCCAATTGGAAAATGGACCAAACCTCATCAATAGGCCAATGGATCATAGCAGTAAATGCTATCAGTACCATGGAGGACTTCGGGAAAACCTTGCACCATCAAGAAGAGAGATATTGAAAGAGTTGGTTCTATTGGACCCAGGAGGTAGATTAGGGAAGAACCCTTTTTTTCCTATTGTCTTGCGGGAAAGAAAAATCACTTGATTCCGCCATCAACACAGTCATGGGAGAGTCCCTTCCGCTAAGCCATTGTGTTCTCCCGGTGGAGGGGGAGAAAGGGAACAGACATTCCCACCAGGAGAATAATCGCATGTAAAATCCAACAGATTGGTTGTACCCAAGTTGATCGATCGATCAACTTGGGTACACTCAGCCTGCCCATACATGGTTTGAATCTTAGCTGGTCCCTGCTGAACTGGCCAAGATTCAAACAGTCTATGGCCAGCTTTATTAGGACCATGAACTTTGTAACTGCTTTACAGTTTTTTATTTTATGTTAAGTAAAAGAATTAAAAAAAAAAAGTGCCCCCCCATAAAAAAAACCCACCAGCACTAATATGAAATGTGGCAATGACATGATTCTTTAGTGTCCAATCCCACTGCTCCTTCCTTCCCAAAAACCAAGCCGCTGTATTAAATGAAAAGTAATCGGACACTGGCTTCTACCTTGTTCTGTGCACTGGCCCACCAAGGACAACTGCGCCAGATCTCACGCATGCGCTGTACAAGATCTGATTGGTTTATTATTGTTTATGCATTGCCATAATATTAGCAATGTGTCATTATCCCAGAGAGATCCTGCACTGTACACACACATGATCTGCTGGAAGTCATTGGTGATGTAGCCTTCCCATTGGACAGCTGAAGGCCCGGCTATGTCACTGCCTCAGAAAACCAGAAAGTTAAATGAATTAAATTGTAAGTTCACCAACAAATCATTTAATGTACATAGGCATGGAGTATGTTTACAGTATATATCAGCGGGCAAATCCATGTGCACCTGCAGTTTTTGGTTTGGTATGGAGGGGGTCTGCTTTGATGTAGACCTACACACTACATTCCTGCCAGGTTCAAAGCAGAGCCACAACTCCCAACACATCACAAATTCCCATGATTCTGTGTCAAAGACATGCCCTGTATTTATTAAAACCTAATTTATTTTACTAAGGTAAGATTAAATCAACCCATAACCATTATCATTTCCTTTAGGCACTGCTATTACACAAGTTTAACTCTTTGTCAGGTTTGCATTTTAAAAAGAAAAGAAAATTAGATTTTTAAAAACTGTGAAACTCTTAATTCACCAGAAACAAATATTGTTTAATGGCTATCCCATGTTGTCCTGTTTGAATACTGTGTATGTCCTTCTGTTTGATACTTGTTTTACTCCATTAGTAAGGCCTGGGCTTTCCCACTTAAATGGTCTAAGCCAGTGTTTCTCAATCAGGGTTCCATGGAACACTAGGGCTCCTCCAGAGGTTGCTAGTGGTTTCTATAGCAATTAAAATTTCTCCTTGTAAGTTCCCACTGACACCATGGATCCTTTTAGCTATCTGTAAGGTGGGGATTCTTCCCAATGACCACAATTGTAAGGAACATTCTTCTTTCTGACCTTCCCACTAATGTATCATAAGTTGTAGATCTAGTAATATTTAGCAGGGGTCAAGGGTTCCTCTGTGTTGAGAAAAGCTGGTCTAAGCCTTGCCCACCCTGTCCAGTAAGAACTTCTCAGTAGCCAATAAGGCTGCTCTCTTTGAAGAAGATTCAGCAGATTCTTTGCACTTTGGTCAGGAAAGATAAGATCGTACATTGGAATTAAACCCTCCAATCATTTCAGCCAAGGAAGCTGCCATCTTAGCCTCTATTTGATCTGCAACTGCCATGTGGCTGCATATGTGATCAGTTATGGCACCAGCCATTTGATGGTTTGACAGTCTGGTTGCTAGCACAAGTACATGTGACAGTTAGCATGCCCGGCATGCCTTGAATGGTTTTTTAAACCATTATATCAACCAAAATCAATAGTTCCGCTGTGAAACCAACATCAGAGGTTTTAGGATTAATAAAGGCCATGCCAGGCACCTTCCATTTGGACTTGCTTTTAAATTTTGAAAGTGTCTAAAAATGAACTTTATATACTTCCTCACTTAGGATGATGGATTTAAATACTGTGCTACAAATACTAATGACATTCACAGATAACAGTCTCCTAGAGCAGAGAAACTAAACAAGTCAGCAATTATATTATATTTTACTTGTTCTGATCTATGCTCACAAAAACTAAAATGTCTTCACATTGGTATTGTAGCTACAAATATAGTCAGGTTGTGTGTATGGCAGAGGTCTCATTTAATGTGAACCTGAGCTGGAGTCAGTCCTCTTGTTTCTATGTAACACATTTGGAGGGGGACAGGTTCACCCTTTCAGTTGCAGAGCTGGAGGAAGTGTCAATGGACTACAAGTGTGATGAGCACTGCATTTGTTTTCTACAACTCCATCTGTGGTGGGGAAGATGGGACTTGTAGTTCATTCATAAACAGATCTCTGCAAATGAATGACACAGCTGCTGTGGAGAAGAAGAACCCCTGCATACTGTTATGGGGGATGGGGTTTGCCGAAAGGATGGGATTTCTTTTCTATTTTCACAGAAGAGTAACACGAAAGATATGTACTACAGTAAAAGAAAATGTTATTTAAGTGATAAGCCTCTTTAACTGATCTACATTTCACATCCCTGATATGTGCCTGCTGTCCCATGTACTTGCGTTAAAAACTATTCTGTTCTCTTTGTATTGCTTCCTTTGTGTGAAATCCCTGGTGATCCTAGCAGTACTTCTGCTTTCCAATTTCTGACCACACTAGGCTTGAGAGCACATCCATCCCAGCATTGTCATTTTCTAGCTGTGATGGGAGAACAGCCTACCTGTCTTCCAATGATCAGGATGACATTCCACCCCTGCACAGCCATTCACTGTGAAGGTCAGTGTATCGCTCTTTCTCCACCCCCACCCCCCTCTCTAAGCCCTTTATGCAGCTGAGAACAGAGGTTATGTGATCGCTTAAAAAAAAAAAAAAAAAACAGAAAAAAAGAAAATATTTATGTTTTTTCATATAAATATACACAAATTATTTGCTTTTCATTTCTATTTTAAATTTGTTGTTATACAAGGTGAGGGTTCACACACTTTATTAAACACATTAAAGGGTGCTGTCCAACGAAAGCAGATATGTCGGCTACCACAGCTGAAACTTTCATTTCTAAATGGAATAACCAGTCAAAGAAAAATACAGAAAACAATTGAAGTGCAGCCATTGATGAACATTGATGAACACTGCTCTGTGCTAAAACTACGCCACTGCCCTTAGTAGCAGTTCTCTCTAATCACCTGTATCCAGATTCCAGAGAGCGCCTCCCAGGGGCAGTAGGAGGCCTGTCAGACTGAAGCCTGTTCTCTTCAACTTCTCTGTCTGAATGTGATTGGTGGTGCAAGAAGGAAACTTCAATAGTAGACTGGAATTGGATTGATGGCTCTAAGAAACTTTCCATTTTGTTTGCTATATGTGAGTCAGTACAGGGCTTGCAGTGCATGGTCCAGCATTCCAAGCAGGTCCGTTCTTAGATCTCCACAATACGTACAGAAGAAAGGATGATGACTGGTATTCTCCTACAATCCCTGGATGAAAAAAAGTGTATGGAGCAGATAGACGGTACCCCTGTATGCCAATCAAGGCTTCATATTCAATGACTGGACTGTACCATTAACCAGCCTTTAGCCTAGTGTAAGCGTCCCGGCCACACATAGCGGCTTCTGACCTCCCTCCTGAAGCACAGGATGTGTGTCCCGGTCATACTATTTCCTTCATATGTACTTGTCTCCGATTATTGCTGTGCTATGTCGCCTTCTCCTCTGGCAGCTGAGGTGAACAAATAATTGTGCTTAATCTGACCTGCCAGCCGGAAACAAACCATTCACACTATGGAATTCTTCAGCCGTAATGTGAAGGATGTGCAGGACAGTTCTACAACCTACCTTCCGAACGCTTGTTCCATGATTAAAAAAAAAAGGGACCAAAATAAAATCAAACCAAATCAAACTTAGCAAAAGTAAAAAAAAAAAAAAAAAAAAAATCTGATATTTACACATTCTTCTTTTCCTGCATTGATCATACGGGTAGACCCCCACCCCGCAGTGATCATACAAGTCACTCTCCCTGCAGTGATCATAAAGGTCACTCTCCCCACAATGATCATACGGTAGCCCCCCTGCAGTGATCATATGGGTTGCTCTCCCTGCAGTGATCACACGGGTCACTCCCCTCGCAGTGATCATACAGGTTGCTCCCCCCCCCCGCAGTGATCATACGGGTCGCTCCCCTCGCAGTGATCATATGGGTTGCTCAACCCTGCAGTGATCGTATGGGTCACTCCCCACGCACGGGACGCTATCTCGGCACTGATCATACGGGTCGCTACTCCCGCAGTCATCATACGAGTCGCTCCCTCTGCAGTCATCATACGAGTCGCTCCCTCTGCAGTAGTAAGGCACACAAAAAATGTCCATTACTGGGCCCAGACGTACCTTTGTGTTCCCTTTGCTGTGCCTATCCATGGGAATACACTTAGCTAGATATGGATATCCTGATCTGGTAGAGTAAACATAACATTCATTCTGATTATTCTCTGCGCTGATCAGACATACAAAGCATAGTAGAGTACAAGTTCTCCGATTCCTGTCCAGAATTACCTAGACAACTTTGCAATGGATAGTATGGCACAGAAAGCTTCAATGCTCTCATGATATGCTTTATGCATCAGCGATGATGTCCTGCATCCATAATATTGTACCTATGTCCCATTCAAACCCAACTGACTACTCATTTCTGAATTTTAGGGCTTTTATGGTTCCATGTGGCACTTGATGGCTCATGCCTCTGGTTCATTATTTGTCCTGAAGGCTTGCTTGTGCAAGTGGGCCTCGATTTCGTCCCGGAACACTAACATGCCGAGGTGTGGGTGAGAGGCCTCGTTCATGGCCTTAGACTGAATGCACATGCGATACTGCTCTGGAGTGAGTTCATCCACACAATGCTTCTCATGCCATAGATGAAACAGACCTGGCACTGGTGTCCGCACCACAATCAAATCTCCATGGAGGTATTTTCTGTACAAATGAACATCTTCCCCTCCCCAGCCTCTGACTTCCAAATCAAAGCCACCTGGAAAAGACAAGAATGACACAATGAGCACAAAGGGGTTGTTATTCAATCTTTCCACAAGAGGGAGACAAACTATCAGTAAAGATCAGCAAGAGACCTGAATGTGGAACTGAATACAGAAAGATTTATAGTAGCAGCCGTTGAATCCATTGCACATTTTACACACTAGAAAAGTCATTCACTAACAATTCTTAACTTAACCACTTGCCCTCCAGAGGATTTACCCCCTTCCTGTCCGGGCCATTTTTTGCGTTACAGTGCAGCGTTACTTTAACAATTGTGCACCCAAATGAAATTTGTACTTTTTTTCTCCACAAATATAGCTTTCTTTCGGTGGTATTTGATCGCCTGTGCAGTTTTTATTTTTTGCGCTATAAACAAAAAAAGACCGTCAATTTTGAGAAAAAAAAAAAAGAATATTTTTGACTTTTTCCTATTAAACATGTCCAATAAAAAAATGTAAAAAATCAAATTTCATCATAAATTTAGGGTAAAATGTATTCTGCTATGTCTTTGTCTCTGGGACACTCAAAGAGTTAACACAGTATGCTGTGTCTGTCCTTTCTACTGTAAGCACACTGCTTTGTATGGCTGTGCCACACACACACACACACACACACACACGGATTTTGCTCGGTTTAGAAATCGCAGCTTGGCATTGCATGCCATTATTAAGCTGCTGACTTTTTTTTTTCAGGGTGAAGATTCTCTTTAACTGCTTCCTGTCCGCCCCATAGCAGAAATACTGCTACAGGGCAGCACAGGTGCGCAAAATCACGTGTGTGTGTATATATATATATATATATATATATATATATATATATACATACACATACATACATACACATACACATATATACATATATATATATATATATATACACACACACACACACGTGATTTTGCGCACCTGTGCTGCCCTGTAGCAGTATTTCTGCTATGGGGCGGACAGGAAGCAGTTAAAGAGAATCTTCACCCTGAAAAAAAAAAGTCAGCAGCTTAATAATGGCATGCAATGCCAAGCTGCGATTTCTAAACCGAGCAAAATCCTCTGTTGTATTAAAAGAGGTATAGACTCCAGAGAGAGAGATATCATTTCTCCCGATGCAAATCATTACTAAGACCTCATCTGGAATACGCAGTTCAGTTTTGGGCACCAATTCACAAAAAGAACATTGGGGAACTGGAGAAAGTACAGAGAAGGGCAACTAAACTGATATGAGGCATGGAGGAGATCAGCTATGAGGAAATATTAGAGGAACTGAATTTATTCTCTCTTGAGAAGAGGAGATTAAGGGGGGATATGATCAACATGTATAAATACATCAGTGGTTCATATAGTGAACTCGGTGGTGTAGAGCTATTCACCCTGAGGTCATCACAGAGGACAAGTGGGCACTCTGTCTGGAGGAAAAGAAATGTAAATTGTATCATGCTTTGCTGGGTTTTTTGCCTTCCTCTGGATTGGGTATAGAATTAAATTTTTTTTTTTTTATGGTTGAACTGGGTGGACTTTTGTCTTTTTTCAGCCAGACTAACTATGTAACTATGTAGCAGCTACAAATACTGTAGCTGATGACTTTTAATAAAAGGACACTTACCTGTCCCGGGATCCCGCGCTTTCTTCACCCCGGCTGGTTCTTTGCCAGTCTTCTGGTCCCTGGCACCAGCAGGTTTACTGTGGGAAGCCAACTGTGACTCCTGCAGCTTAACCATCTCCTCACTGTGCCTGTGACAGTCACGCTGTGCTGTAGGAATAGACCTAAAGCCTCCTGTGACATGTCTCGTGCGGCTGTGGACAGGGTGGGGGGGAACGAACTTCCACTGAAATTATCTAGGTGATTCCAGAAATGGAATGGAGTGGGTACCTGCCAGATGTAGGTACCTGCTCCATATAAGTGTGGGGCCCATATATATATATAGCAACTGTGACAGTGTGCAGCCCTTGTATATAGCAACTGTGACAGTGTGGGGCCCTTGTATATAGCAACTGTGACAGTGTGGGGCCCTTGTATATAGCAACTGTGACAGTGTGGGGTCCTTGTATATAGCCAATATGACAGTGTGGGGTCCTTGTATATAGCAACTGTGACAGTGTGAGGCCCTTGTATATAGCAACTGTGACAGTGTGGGGCCCTTGTATATAGCAACTGTGACAGTGTGGGGCCCTTGTATATAGCAACTGTGACAGTGTGGGGCCCTTGTATATAGCAACTGTGAGAGTGTGGGGCCCTTGTATATAGCAACTGTGAGAGTGTGGGGCCCTTGTATATAGCCAATATGACAGTGTGGGGTCCTTGTATATAGTCACTGACAGTGTTGGGCCCTTGTATATAGCAACTGTGACAGTGTGAGGCCCTTGTATATAGCCAATATGATAGTGTGGGGCCCTTGTATATAGCAACTGTGACAGTGTGGGGCCCTTGTATATAGCAACTGTGACAGTGTGGGGCCCTTGTATATAGCAACTGTGACAGTGTGGGGCCCTTGTATATAGCAACTGTGACAGTGTGGGGCCCTTGTATATAGCAACTGTGACAGTGTGGGGCCCTTGTATATAGCAACTGTGACAGTGTGGGGGGCCCTTGTATATAGCAACTGTGACAGTGTGGGGCCCTTGTATATAGCAACTGTGACAGTGTGGGGCCCTTGTATATAGCAACTGTGACAGTGTGGGGCCCTTGTATATAGCAACTGTGACAGTGTGGGGCCCTTGTATATAGCCACTGACAGTGTGTGGGTCCTTGTATATAGCCACTGTGACAGTGTGGGGTCCTTGTATATAGCCACTGTGACAGTGTGGGGTCCTTGTATATAGCCACTGTGACAGTGTGGGGCCCTTGTATATAGCCAATATGACAGTGTAGGGTCCTTGTATATAGCCACTGACAGTGTGGGGTCCTTGTATATAGCCACTGTGACAGTGTGGGGTCCTTGTATATAGCCACTGTGACAGTGTGGGGTCCTTGTATATAGCCACTGTGACAGTGTGGGGTCCTTGTATATAGCCACTGTGACAGTGTGGGGTCCTTGTATATAGCCACTGTGACAGTGTGGGGTCCTTGTATATAGCCACTGTGACAGTGTGGGGTCCTTGTATATAGCCACTGTGACAGATTGAGACCCTATCAAGATGTGAGATTAAGAAAGGGAGGTAAGGGTGACACGGGATTCTCACATTTGCAGTTTGAGAATCTTCAGGGAGTTAGTTATGAGCCATAAAGCTGTACTTTGCAGCTTTCTCTGGGTTTTGTAAGCCAAGATCAGGGCATGGAGTTTGAAGGTTCCAAAGTGTCTTGGGTGGGACAGAACCTTAGAACCCATGGCCAAGCGTTGCTAAATGCCTGCAGCCTGTGTGAGTACATGGGTGTGTAGGGTCATTATAAATCAGATCGGAGAGGAGCTCTGGGCAGACGCAGTTGCGGTCATTCAGAGACAAAGTCAGTGTGTGAAGATAGTAGTGTGCTCCAGCCAGGAGGGGTGACTTTCTTGAGAGACTCCATGTTGGGGAGGACTTCTTGCCCACAGGACTGGGAGAGTCAGGAGAACTACACGGGTCTGGAGAGACTGGGAAAGCAGAGGTGACTAGTGAGTCTGGATGGGGCTGGAGGGAATCCTGTGTTCCTGAGAAGTGTGGGAGAGCCCTATGTGGAGGCCAGGAGTGGCCCGAGATAATGGACTAAGTGAGCCAGAAGAGCCAGTGGTCTGGGAGATCAATGAGAGCGATGGTGCTGCCAACAGGGGGCTCTGCATTTTCTGTTAACTTTGTTGCTGAATGAAGCTGAATCCCTTGTGTGGGAATCTTCCATGGAATTTCAATGTTCTTTAACCACTTCCAGTCCGGACACTTTCACCCCCTTCCTGTCCAGGCAAATTTTTAGCTTTCAGTGCTATCACACTTTGAACGACAATTGTGCGGTCATGCAACACTGTACCCATATGAATTTTTTAGCATTTTTTGAAACAGATAAAACTTTATTTTGGTGGTTTTTATTCACCACTGGGATTTTTATTTTTTTGCTATATAAATGAAAAAGTCCAAAAATTTTGAAAAAAAAAGTTTTTTCTTATAAAATTTTGCAAATAAATAATCTTTCTTCATAAATCTTGGCCAAAATGTATTCCACTATCTTTTTAATAAAAAAAAAAATAACCCAAATTAGTTTATAACCAAAAATTATAATTTTTCAAAAACATTTTTTTTATATTATGTATTTATTTTAACATACTGTCACCCTAGCAGTACAGTGTAACCATGGTGACACTGTACTACTTATGGGGGGGTGAAGTTTTTTTTTTTTTTTTTTTTTTACACGGATTGCTTTTACACCCATAAAGGCTGTAAAAGCAATAATTTCTCCTTCTTTCTAACTGCATTCTTGCAGCCATTGAGAAATACAGTGCGAGCTGTGATTGGTCTCAGCTCGTCACATGGTACAAGGCTGTTGTGAATAGCCTTGCGTACCATGTGACCTCGGTGATCATTCACAGATTTCACACGTAATGAGCAATGATGTCAGAAGTGACGTCTTGCTTACACCTATTCATGTGATCGGGACCTCATACAGATCAATCTTGGACACAGCGGGCACTAGTAGTAAGCAATGATGGAAGCAAGTGACATGTTGCTTACTACTATCCATGTGATCACTGATTGGCCAATCAGTGATCACATGATTGGGACCTCACACAGTGATCTGTGTCCTCTGGACACAGTGGGCACCGGATCGCGGTACCGCGTGCTCCCAGGCAGGGAATGCGGGAGCATGTTTATAAATGGCCACCCACTCCTGCACTGCTCCCATCCAACCGTTTATATACATGGGCCGGACAGGAAAGTGGTTAATATACGTGGGTTACCAGGCCCTTAAAACTGAAGTTCAGGCTGATGTGGACTTTAAAAAGCATCTACCACATTCTAATCACCCCCATAACACACCACCAATATACATTCGGCATGTCACAAACACTACAGCCAGGCTACAACAGTATTGGCAACTGTTTGTTTTCATAATTACATATGTAACAACATGAATCACTGTGCTGCAAACATGGATGACTTACCTATTGATAAGAAATCTGATTTATACTGACAAGTCATGCCAAACCCAAAATCTCGCCAGAAGCCGGAGTCCTTCTTATGAACCTAAGGCAATGAAAAGTAATATTACAAGTAATACAAATCTGTACCATCCCTCTCCTGGATTGGCAGTGTGTGCTTTACATTTCTGAATTTTGTATGGATTCTTTCTCTCTTTCTTTCCAGCTGAACTTATATGGGCAGATATAACAAAAAATACACAAATGTGTGTTCATTCAAAATCCCTTAAAGTGTTACTAAACCCAGGACCCTGCATTCACTATATCTGGTCTCCCACAGTACACACAACATGGAAATGCAATTATTTTAGTAAATATAAAACTGCTAAATACCTTTTCTCATCAGCAGTTATAGCATTCTTGAGACTTCTATCAGTGTCCAGCAGAGCACTGGTTAAAGCTTGTAGGAGGAGTTTTCATGTTGCTCTAGGAGGATGCAGGACCCCTGACCTCTGTCTTGACAGTGCTAATTGGCCCTGTGCTGATCACAAGCACTCTCCCAAGAAAAAACCCTCTTTGGTAATGCATACCAAACTGAGCATGTGCAGAGCGACTCCACACAATATGTCTTATCAGGAGATAAGAGGGGGACACTGGAAGAAGGGGAGGATCAGAGAAGACAGGATCAAACAGCCTTTTTACTCAATGCAGAAGATTAACCCCTTAGGATCCACAGTGAGTATAACAAGCATGCTTTTCTGCATATACAGACTGATTTTACCGATATGGGTTTAGTAACACTTTAAATGTATTCCTAAATGAGAAGTATGGTCAAAGCTGGTTTCCTGAGGGTCACAGGAGTGCACTTACTTGTGCTCTCCTGTGACCCAGAATCATCCAACAGTGAACTAAAGCCCATTGTCAGCTGATTTCAGAGAGCCGCTCCAGACTCTGGAGGTGTAGGGATCAACCCAGATTCCTGTCCGGCAACTGGCTCAGCCTCCCAGCACACCACTGAGCCAGCCGCCCCCACCTCCTCTCCTGCCTGAGATGATCTGTGATCAGCAGTCATGTGATTGCTCAGTTCTCAGGCTTAGAGGCGGCAGGGGACAGCTGCAGCATTGGACTGATGCTGCAGCCATAGAGGTAAGTGCTGATGGTTTTGTTTTTTTAATATACCACACCTCTCCTTTAAATGTTATTATATACCAAAATGTGACTTAGTCTCTTGTACAGCAGCCCTGCGTGGGAGAAAAGGGGCAGCAGCAGGAGCTAATAAGGTGTGCTGCAATGCGGATAGGCTGACAAGCAAAATGCTAACAGGAGGAGAGAGCAGAGAGATGACCTCATCAATCTGTTGCTGCTCCTTCACGGTCAATAACAGGCTGGAGGTAGGGAGGTGACAAAGCTAAGCTAAGAGAGATTCCAGTTCACTAGGCTGACTCTGCTGTCCGACAGGGCTGTGTAAATCTCAGGAGTGGATGGATAAATACAAATCCAGGCAGATAATTTATGTCCCTTACATGTCAGTTTATTTGTGAATTTAGCCATTTTCCTGGAAATCATCTTTTAAAAGAAGCACAGCAATATTCACTGTAATAGAGGCAGAGTGAAATCTTACACCTTCGTTTCACAAAAAAAAAAAAAACATCTGTGTATGAGTCATGTAAACAGGCAAGCGGCTAGACGACTAAAAACATTATTCCATTTATTAACTTCATGTGACGTGTATGTCTGTAGCCCCACCTTCATTAAAGGTCACACAAAAGGTTTTCATACCAGTGACTTGCCTAACTTGGGGGCATTGTTTTTACTGTTGAAAAGAGGAATGAAAGTAAAAGTATTGCTACATAATGACCAAAAGAGTTTTTTAATCTGACATTAGGCAACGACTTCACTTTTATTTCCTTTTTTTAAATTTTTTTTTTTTTTATGAAGAGGCCCGACAGCAAAATTACATATACATCCTTATTTCTTTTTAATAAAGTAATTATGTAATATTGGATGAGATATTTACCACTGGCAGCCTGCTGGTGGTATGTTAGGGCTGCTGACCGGTTTTCTGCTGCAATTTGCTGCTATGCCGTGAATAGCTTATGTCATTTTATTCCATGTTATTCTGGTGTATTCACAACACTCGGTTTGGCGAACCCACAGTGCTATCCAGTAGTGTATGCATGTTTTAGGTGAAACAGAAGTACTATACTCACCAGCTGTTGGTCCACGGAGGGTGGTGCATCTAGATTGGCATACACAATTGCAGGATTGTAAAGACTAAATACAACTGGATAGAAGACTCTCTTGCCTAGAAAATAAAGACATACTTCAGGATTTGGTATTCTTCTATTCAGTTCAAAGCATCAATTTAAAGGAACGAAGAACGTTATTGTTGTGCTTGAATGGAGTTATAGGACAACTTAATTTTGAAAGGTGGGGTTCCATTTTAAATTTTTTACTTGAACCACTTGACATTGACTTATCCTTACAGTGGGAAAGGTGGCGCTTTAGTTTGGTGGCTAGTGGGTGAGGTGGCCCTTTGGTTAGGAGGCCAGAGGGAAGGGTGCCCCTTTGGTTAGGTGGCCGGCCAGTGGGAAAGGTGGCCCTTTGGTTAGGAGGCCAGAGGGAAGAAGGGTGCCCCTTTGGTTAGGTGGCCCTTCGGTAGGTGGCCGGCCAGTGGGAAGGGTGGCCCTTTGGTTAGGTGGCCGGCCAGTGGGGTCAAGGGGAAGGGTGGCCCTTTGGTCAGGTGGCCGGCCAGTGGGAAGGGTGGCCCTTTGGTCAGGTGGCCGGCCAGTGGGAAGGGTGGCCCTTTGGTCAGGTGGCCGGCCAGTGGGAAGGGTGGCCCTTCGGTCAGGTGGCCGGCCAGTGGGAAGGGTGGCCCTTCGGTCAGGTGGCCGGCCATGGGAAGGGTGGCCCTTTCGGTCAGGTGGCCGGCCAGTGGGAAGGGTGGCCCTTCGGTCAGGTGGCCGGCCAGTGGGAAGGGTGGCCCTTCGGTCAGGTGGCCGGCCAGTGGGAAGGGTGGCCCTTCGGTCAGGTGGCCGGCCAGTGGGAAGGGTGGCCCTTCGGTCAGGTGGCCGGCCAGTGGGAAGGGTGGCCCTTCGGTCAGGTGGCCGGCCAGTGGGAAGGGTGGCCCTTCGGTCAGGTGGCCGCCAGTGGGAAGGGTGGCCCTTCGGTCAGGTGGCCGGCCAGTGGGAAGGGTGGCCCTTCGGTCAGGTGGCCGGCCAGTGGGAAGGGTGGCCCTTCGGTCAGGTGGCCGGCCAGTGGGAAGGGTGGCCCTTCGGTCAGGTGGCCGGCCAGTGGGAAGGGTGGCCCTTCGGTCAGGTGGCCGGCCAGTGGGAAGGGTGGCCCTTCGGTCAGGTGGCCGGCCAGTGGGAAGGGTGGCCCTTCGGTCAGGTGGCCGGCCAGTGGGAAGGGTGGCCCTTCGGTCCCCTTTGGTCAGGTGGCCGGCCAGTGGGAAGGGTGGCCCTTTGGTCAGGTGGCCGGCCAGTGGGAAGGGGTGGCCCTTCGGTCAGGTGGCCGGCCAGTGGGAAGGGTGGCCCTTTCAGGTTAAGGTGGCCAGGTCAGGGAGGGTGGACCTTTTGGTCAGGTTGGGGAAGGGTGGCCTTTGGTGGCCAGTGGGAGGGGTGGACCTTTTGGTTAGGTGGCCAGTGGAGGGGTGGAGGTGGCCTTTGGTTTGGTTAGGTGGCCAGTGGGAGGGGTGGACCTTTGTTAGGAGGCCAGTGGGAGGGGTGGACCTTTGGTTAGGTGGCCAGTGGCAGGGGTGGACCTTTGGTTAGGTGGCCGGCCAGGGGCAGGGGTGGACCTTTGGTTAGGTGGCCAGTGGCAGGGGTGGACCTTTGGTTAGGAGGCAAGTGGAAAAGGTGGACATTTGGTTAGGAGGCGAGTGGAAAAGGTGGACATTTGGTTAATTGGCCAGTGGGAGGGGTAGACCTTTGATTAAGTGGTGAGTGGGAGGGACGGACCTTTAAATTAGTGGTAAGTAGAAAGGGTGCCCTTAGGAAGCTGGTTGTTGTAGATCCTGGCTTACACTGATGACATTGGTTGCCTCCAACTCTATTGAGTAGTAATTTTGGTACTGGAACCATCAGGAGGGAGATCAATCTGCTAATTGCTCAAAGAACTAACACCTTATGCAGAATGCTACAATTCTACAGAAAAAGGATTAAGAAAGTCTGCTCTGGAGACTGGTCACTAAGGGGTTAATGCACATTCTCTGGTGACTGGTTACTGAGCAGTTGACACAAACACTGGAGACAACTGACACAAATTCGACAAGTGTCTCTCCTAGTGCTCCACTGACACAAATTCGACAAGTGTCTCTCCTAGTGCTCCACTGACACAAATTCGACAAGTGTCTCTCCTAGTGCTCCACTGACACAAATTCGACAAGTGTCTCTCCTAGTGCTCCACTGACACAAATTCGACAAGTGTCTCTCCTAGTGCTCCACTGACACAAATTCGACAAGTGTCTCTCCCTAGTGCTCAACTGACACAAATTCGACAAGTGTCTCTCCTAGTGCTCCACTGACACAAATTCGACAAGTGTCTCTCCTAGTGCTCCACTGACACAAATTCGACAAGTGTCTCTCCTAGTGCTCCACTGAGACACAAATTCGACAAGTGTCTCTCCTAGTGCTCCACTGACACAAATTCGACAAGTGTCTCTCCTAGTGCTCTACTGACACAAATTCGACAAGTGTCTCTCCTAGTGCTCCACTGACACAAATTCGACAAGTGTCTCTCCTAGTGCTCAACTGACACAAATTCGACAAGTGTCTCTCCTAGTGCTCCACTGACACAAATTCGACAAGTGTCTCTCCTAGTGCTCCACTGACACAAATTCGACAAGTGTCTCTCCTAGTGCTCCACTGACACAAATTCGACAAGTGTCTCTCCTAGTGCTCCACTGACACAAATTAGACACCCAGTACTCTGATCTCGCAGCAAATGTAAATCAAGATACAAATGAGCATTACCGCAATGGAGACCAATAACCAGCATGATCTATTAGAAATAAAACCTGTGCAATATTATCTACCTGCTCATTCATTTTTTCTCTCTAGATTTTATTACCAATCAAGTAGTCCCAGTATCCACTATTTTGGAGTCTTATTTACGGAAGGCAATAAAAGTCTCCAACTTAGATTTGCTATAGTCGTACATTGTATCTACCCCTACTTTGTTAGAGGTCACTTAAGCTGGCCATACATTATACCATTTCCCTATTCAATTTTCTTTAGATTTACCATCAATTACGTAGTGCAAGGGCCTGCCCAATTTCAAACAAATTAAAGCGTTTAGATTTACCAAAAGCATAGAATATGAGATCAAACCTAAAGGAAAATTGTATAATGTATGACCAGCCTCAACCTGCGTGCACTCACCCGTTTCTGAGTTTATTCTGCATGTTTCTAGAAATCCTGGTGTGAAATAGATGTCCACATCACAGAAGAAAAGCAGAACATCGTCCTTGTCCCAGGCCCTTGCGCCAACCTCCAGGCCACGCCCCCGGCTGAACTCCTCCTTCAGTGGAATTAATGTGTAATTATGGGAATTCTGATCACTGCAAAAACAATGAGAACAATATCTCAAACACAGTGAACACGACCTGTCCTTGCTCAAACAGCATTAGAGTCTGTATTCAATACAGATGAGAACCGAGAACATACGGATTTCAATGCATCCAATTATATCATTAAACTGGATCTGTCAGAACCCAAATACGATCGAAGGTTACGTATCTGTTGAAGTGTACCTGCTTTTATCTTGAAATCAGATTTTGCACCCACATGGAGCCCCCGCATTAGAGAACCAGGCTGTACAGGGGGTCTTATCTAAACTAAGCCCAAGTGCTGAACCCTTATCAGTCAGGAGTCAAGTACACTCGATTACCTTTTATTACAGATTGTAGATGAAGGAAACCTGTACTAGGAAAATATGGAAGATGCAACTGCTGACCTTCCCTTCTAAAACTGCACATTGCCTGGCTGTCATGCTGAATCTGTGGTTTCCATACATTCTGAGCCACTGGAACATATTTGCAGATCAGAAGTTCTGCCGTCAGGACTTTGTTTGTGTTGGGACAAATCAAAGTATTTGAAGGGTAAGTTTACCTTAAAATAATAAATGCACATTTTTCACGTTCAAAAAGATGTGCACTTATTTAATTTTTTTTAATTAGGAGCCTTCAAAGCATTGCACCTGCAATCAGCAGATCACGGGAGCAATCTAGGGTTGCCACCTCATCCCCTTATAACCAAACATATATTAATGACACAGGTTCTCTGGCTGATTAGGGTGGTAATTAAACTCACTCAGTGTCTTATCTGCATTAAATTAGCCTCAGAACCTGTGTCATTAATATGTATTCGAAGGGATGAGGTGGCAACCCTAGTGCAGACTCGGGCTCCTGCAGACTGTCAGTGTAGCTGTCTGCTCATACCTCCAACGGGCACGCAGTTACTGAATGACAGGGAGAATCAATGAATTACTGGAGTGCTCACATCAGCGCCCTGGTAGTTCATTGAGAATTACAAGCCGTCAGCCACAGTGGCAGGTGGTAGATGTAGTTTTCACATTTACAGAACTCTGTGAATCAATGACATGGCTGGGTGGATGAAGCCCCTCACAGTCACGTTTTTAAATTGTGACAGCAGAGGCGAGGAGAAGATCCCCGGGCCGCTGTCACAACAGGGATTCAGGAGGGCGTGGGATCTGCTCTTTAGCAACAGGTTACACGTTACACCCTGGATACAGGTGGAACATGTTAGAAAAGGTGAACTTAGCCTTTAAGTCAATGGATAAGAATGACAGCATTTTCTGATCAGTAGTTGCAGTGTCTATATTTCTCTCAGTACAGGTTTCCTTCAATTGTCAGATCAGTACACACGGTATGTACAGCTAAATGGAATCTGAAGCAGGTAAGAGGACAGAGGGGAATGTGGATGTTAAAAGGGAGTGGAAATATAATCCTTCTGAGGCTGCCACAATTGGACTGTGAAGCGATAGTTGTGCATACCATGTCATAAAACAATGCAATCTGCCGCACCTAGATACCTGCGTCTAGTAACGCAAACAAAAGGCAGCCTTTGATGAACTATTGCTGCTCACTTACAGACACTTTGCTCACGAATAATCTCAACACTTTTAACAGGTTTGAAAAAAGAAAAAAAAAAAAGCACATTGAACAACGGGATGGGTAGAATAGCGGTGCTGTGCTATGGAAATGTTTCTGCCAAGGAACACATCACATCATTCTTCTGAAGTGTAAAACAGGAGCTCTCAGTGGAGCTTAAGGAGCTCCTAAAGTAGTAAAACATGACCACTTGACCTCCGGAAGGTTTTACCCCCTTCATGACAAGGACATTTTTTTGCTATTCAGCACTGCACTATTTTAACTGGCAATTGCTTGGTCATGCAACACTGTACGCAGATAAAATATATATATATATTTTTTTTTGTCACACACATAGAGCTTTCTTTTGGTGGTGTTTGATCACCACTGGGCTTTTTATTTTTTATTATACTGAAAACTTTGAAAAAAAAAACAAAAACAAAACGATTTTCTACTTTCGGTTATAAAACATATCCAATAAATTTGAGCCAAAATGTATTCTGCTACGTCTTTTGTAAAAAAAAAGAAAAAAAAAAAAACAAAATCCCAATTCCAAGTGTATATTAATTGGTTTGCGTGAAATTTATAGATTCTACTTCGAGGGGGGGAGGAAGAATTAGAGCATAACGGGGTAGACATATCAGACAGGGGTCAATCCTTATTGGTGGGTGGAATGGGGAAAGATGGGGGGAGGCCTATGGCAGATGAGAAGGTTCCCATGTTACAAACAACCAGTGGAATTGGTACCATTTATATGAAAATTAAAAATATGCAAAATACGTGTGAACAAGGTGTCAATCAAGTCAAGTGTTTGTTCACCAATGCCAGAAGTCTGCCAAGCAAAATAGGTGAGTTGGAAGCTTTGTTGCACAAAGAGAACTATGATTTAATTGGTATTGCCCAATCTTGGCTTAATTCTTCACAAGACTGGGTCATTAATACTCCTGGCTATGTTCTCTTTCAGAGAGACAGGGTAAATAGGAAAGGTGGTGGTGTCTGTCTCTATGTGAGAAGTGATCTCAGAGCAAATGTGAAAGAGAACATAGTTGATGGAGTGTGATGAGGTCGAAGCAGTATGGGTGGAACTGCACATGGGGGTGCGTACTACAAAGGTAATCATTGGAGTTTGTTATAGGCCTCCCAGTGTTAATGAGGAGGTGGAGACTCAGCTCCTTGCAAAGATCAAAAGGGCTGTAAGGTCTGGGACAGTGATAATAATGGGGGATTTAACTACCTGGAAATTGACTGGAGTAATGGTACTGCAAGAACAGTTAAAGGGCAAAAATGTATAAACCTACTACAGGACAATTTTATGGTATAGTTCATAGAAGCCCCAACTAGGAATGATGCTCTGCTGGACCTGGTAATCTCAAACCATGCAGAGCTTATTACGAATGTCCATATAACAGAACATCTGGGTAACAGTGACCATAACATGATTTCCTTTATTGTTAGTTGTAAGCATCAAGCACATACAAGAAAAATAAAATGTTCAACTTTAAGAGAGCCAATTTTCCAAGGCTGAGAGCTGCTCTCCAAGACTTAGCCTGGGAGGGAATATTGGCATCAATGAACACAACACAGAAATGGGAGTTCTTCAAAAAGACTGTATGTGAACATACTGCAAAATATATTCCCATGGGCAACAAGTTCAAAAGGCTAAAAATCAAACCTATGTGGCTTACGGCCAAAGTTAAAAAAGCTATAGATAATAAGAAAAGAGCTTTTATAAAAATGAAGGAATGCTATCATCGTTTAAACGTTACATAGAATATAACAGAATATGCAAAAAAGAAATAAAGGTCGCAAAAACTGAAAACGACAGATTGCAAAAGATAGCAGGACAAACCCCCAAAAATTCTTAAAATATATTAATAGTAAAAAGGTCCGGTCTGAGCATGTAGGCTCTTTACAAAATAATCTAGAGTGGGTGACTGGGGACAAAGAGAAGGAAAATTTATTAAATACCTTCTTCAGCTCTGCGTATACAAAGGAGCATGGGGGAGCTCTTGTCCATGATGGGCATGGTATTGACACAGCTCCAGATGGTCCACATTGGCTCACAATTGATATGATCCAAAAATATTTAGACAGAATAAAGGTGAATAAAGCACTTGGACCGGATGGCATACACCGACGGGTCCTTAAAGAATTGAGCTAAGTCATTTCAAAGCCATTGTTTCTCATTTTTAGGGACTCTTTAATGACTGGCACAGTGCCACTGGATTGGCGTAAGGCCAATGTGGTGCAAATATTTTAAAAGGGGTCAAAATCTTTACCAAGTAATTATAGACCTGTTAGTTTAACTTCTATAGTTGGGAAGATACTGGAGAGTTTAATAAAAGACCACATAGATGAGTTCTTGCTGGAAAAAAATATTTTAAGCAACAGACAGCATGGATTCATGAAAGACAGAAGTTATCAAACAAATCTGATTTCTTTTTATGAGGGGGTGAGCAAAACCTTGGACAGAGGGGAGGTGGTGGACGTGGTATACTTGGATTTTGCAAAAGCATTTGACACAGTCGCCTGCAGGGCCGCGCAGCGAACATGGCCGATGACAGATCTGAGTACCAGCCCCGTTGCCGGTACCATGTGACCTGTTGTGACCAATCACAGCAGGTCACATGACAGTTGTATACAATGGATGGCTTCATTTATGCCATCCATTGTATACTAGTGTGGCTAGCTGTGAATGGTCACAGTGATCACATGCACAAGCTAGGCCAATCACAGCCCAGCTGTGTCATGTGATTAGCCGTGGCCAAATCACAGCTAAGCACCAAAAAAAAAAAAAAAAAAAAAAAAACCCTAAATGAATCGATTTCATTCAGGTAAATGCTTGCTTATAATTGCTTATAAGTAATTCTTTGCTATAAGCAAATTGTGTATATAAAAAAAAAAATTATGATCACTTCCCCAAAGTAGTACAATGTTACTATGGTAACATTGTACTACTTTGTCATAGTGAAATATGAAAAAAAAATTTTAAGAAAAAAAATTTAATAAAAAATTAAAAATAAATTTTTTTTAACAAATATATATATATTTTTTTTTTTCATACTGTCACCAGTCAGTGTCCCTGATCACCGCCGCACCAGTTCTATAATGACGCTGTACTGCACTGGTGACAGCATGTAAAAAAAAAAAAAAAATAGTGAAAATAATTTTTTTCATTATTTCATTTTCCGAAAAATTATGACAAAAAAAAAATACAACTTCAAAAAACTCGCCATGCTTCTTATGTAGTACGTCGGACTGTCTACTTTGCAAAAAAGTGGTCATTTGCGGGATATTTGTACTGTTCTGACATTCTTGGACCTCAACAAATTAGATTGGCCGTCAGTACTTCAGGATTGATCAATATTCAGATCTATACCATAGTTTGTGAACTCTATAACTTTCCTACAAACTAAATAATACATCCTAATTTGGGTTATTTTCACCAAAGACATGTAGCAGAATACATCTCGGTCTAAATTTATGAAGAACAATTATTTATTTGCAAACGTTTTATAACAGAAACAAAGAAAACCTTTTTTTTTTTTCAAAATTTTCAGTCTTTGTTAATTTAGCAAAAAACAAAAAAAACCCCGGCGGTGATTAAATACCACCAAAAGAAAGCTCTAGTTGTGTGAAAAAATGATAAAATTTTAGTTTGGGTACAATGTTGTATGACCGCGCAATTGTCATTCAAAGTGTGATAGCGCTGAAACCTGAAAAATGGCCTGGGCAGGAAGGGGGTAAAAGTGCCCGTATGGAAGCGATTAAGGAGGAGGATAGAGGTTCTGAGGCCCACGGATGATCCAGAGGGGGAGTCCAGACCAGGTTGTGCATACCCTTAAGAAGATCCGGCTGACCTGCTGAGATATTTGTGTTCTCAAATGCGTGATGTTATTGCGCATTCTTCTATTACCTGACACAACACCATATGATTGGAGATAGGAGGTCGATCACCATATCCTGAGATCTTTTTATTAGATCTTCACATTTATTATTGATTTTGGACTTCGTCACTTTATTAGCACCAATAACCACCTTGAGTGGCATTATCTTTATTTCAATCACTTTGTCACCTTATGGACTTATAAATGTCATTATCTATGGTCACTTTATAAGCACTATTATCACTTTACAGATAACCTCGGAATAGTAATATTTATTTATTTCCGCTGGTTTATGATTGATTTTGCAATTTGTTGGATTTATTGCACTTTATTGTATTTTGATCTCAGCACTGCACCTACTCTATATAGTACTTTAAGGACCATGCTTTGTGCACTGGTGCGCAGTCATGTTGGAACAGGAAGGGGCCGTCCGAAAACTGTTCCCACAAAGTTGGGAGCATGAAATTGTCCAAAATGTCTTGGTATGCTGACGCCTTAAGAGTTCCCATCCCTGGAACTAAGGGGCCAAGCCCAACCCCTGAAAACAACCCCACACCATAATCCCCCTCCACCAAACTTTACACTTGGCCCAATGCAGTCAGGCAAGTACCGTTCTCCTGGCAACCGCCAAACCCAGACACGCCCGTCAGATTGCCAAACAGAGAAGCGTGATTGGTCACTCCAGAGAACACGTCTTCACTGCTCTAGAGTCCAGTGGCAGCGTGCTTTACACCACTGCATCCGACACTTTGCATTGAAATTGGTGACGTAAGGCTTGGCTGCAGCTGCTCGGCCATGGAAACCTATTTCATGAAGCTCTCTGTACACTGTTTTACTAATCTGAAGGCCACACAAAGTTTGAAGATCTTTAGCTATTGACTCTGCAGACAGTTGGTGACTTTGTGCACTGTGGCCTTCAGCATGCGCTGACCCCACTCTGTCATTTTACATGGCCTACTACTTCATGGCTGAGTTGCTGTCGCTCCCAGTTGCTTCTACTCTGTTCTAATTCCACTAACAGTTGACCGTGAAAAATTTAGTAACTAGGAAATTTCATGGATGGACTTATTACACGGATGGCAACCTAACACGGTACCACCCTTGAATTCAATGAGCCCCTGAGAGAGACCCATTCTTTCACAAATGTTTGTAGAAGCAGTCTGCATACCTAGATGCTTGATTTTATACACCCGAGGCCATGGAGGTGATTGGAACACCTGAGTCCAATGATTTGGAGGGCTGGTCCAATACTTTTGGCAGTCTAATATATGTTTGCATTCCTAACAGGACAGCAAACAGAACTGTAAGCTGTGGGTAAAGCTACATAAATGTCAAATATCGGTTATGTGCAGCAGGTGGTAACATGGTCAGGTGTGAAAGTCTTTTGTAGACATAACTTTTGGATAATTTGTGACATAGTGATTCAAAAGAGTGAAATATACATTCACCTCCTGATACACACACGCAGTCTGTTAACACTGATAGTTTATATCATCATGAGGTTACAAGACTTTGTAGACATCAGAACACAGCGGACTAATGGTGGCCATAGATGGGTCGAAAATCGGCCGATTTTTTCAGCCGAAAATAAAATCGGCCGATTTTTGGATCGTTAGTGGGCTATTTGTTCGGCCGTTTTTCGGTATTTTGGCAGATTTTTTTTATCGGTAAAGTTGGAAAAAAAATCGGCCGATTTTGCCAATCGGCCGATTTTCGCGGCAATGATGGGCAAATCGACCGATTTTTTACTGATAAAAAAATCTGCGCATGAGCAGTGACCTGCAAGAGGAAGACAAAAAGAAGAAGAGGAAGAGGATGAAGAAGAAGAGGATGAAGAAGAGGATGATGATGAAGAAGAGGATGATGATGAAGAAGAGGAAGAAGAGGATGAAGAAGAGGAAGTAGAAAAAGAAGAGGATGATGATGAAGAAGAAGAAGAAGAGGATGACGAAGAGGATGACGAGGAAGAAGAAGAAGAAGGAGGAAGAAGAAGAGGATGAAGAAGAAGAATAAGAGTTTGAAGAAGAGGATGAAGGAGAAGAATAAGAGTTTGAATAAGAGTTTGAATAAGAGTTTGAAGAAGAGGATGAAGAAGAGGATGAAGAGGAAGAAGAAGAGGATGAAGAGGAAGAAGAAGAGGAAGAAGAAGAGGAAGAAGAAGAGGAAGAAGAAGAGGAAGAAGAAGAGGAAGAAGAAGAGGAAGAAGAAGAGGAAGAAGAAGAAGAAGAAGAAGAAGAAGAAGAAGAAGAAGAAGAAGAGAAGAAGGAGGAGGAGGAGGATGAAAAATAAGAGGATTTCCAGTCCGGCAAAAAGTGTCCCTGCAGAGAGCTCCGCTATTTCTTTGACAGTTCTTTGACATTTACAGCGGTTGCAACATTGTATCTATTTGTTTCCGAATAAAAACATCTGTATCCTAAATGGATACAAATAGATACATTGTTGCAACCGCTGTAAATGTCAAAGAACTGTCAAAGAAATAGCGGAGCTCTCTGCAGGGACACTTTTTGCCGGCTGTAGACGGAATGAAAATCGGCCGATTTTTTTTACCATTGCTGGTAACGTCGGCCGCTTGAACGACCGATTTTTCGTTTTTTTAAAGAAAAATCGGCCGTTTTTCTCCCCGTCTATGGCCTGCATTAGTGTGAGAAAGGAGAGGGTTTGGACAAAAGATGATACATCTGCAGAAGTCTTTTTCATCTGGAAATAGATGGCACATCAGGAGTAACTCATTTCCACACTGAGCCACCTACAATCCACATGTATGCAGGATGAACTCAGCAACCAAAAAAGAAGACTATATCAACACACACATGGAATTCAGAATGTGACAAAAATATTACGTGGGGAAAAATACAAAAATGCAATACTGTAAAGAAAGGAATACAAAAATGGCGGGTTGGGGTACTGCATGGTCTGGCAAATGTGATTTTACGCTCCTGAATAGAGGAAGAATAATTATTTGTATCCATAAAAAATCCTCCATCAGTTCAAGGATTTATGCAAATGCAGATTTTACTTACCTTTCTATAGTTTTAAGGATTTTCTGAACTTCCGATAGACCATCCTCACCAAAGTAGACCACAGTCAGGTAAGTCCTTTTATCTTGCCGAATACAAACATCTCTTGAATAACATAACAAAAAAAAAAAAAAAAAACATCAACTATGGGGGTAATTACAAAAAGAAATTGCTTAGCTTTTTATCTCAATTGTTTCACATTCCACTGTGTACAGTGGATATAAAAAGGTCTGCACACCCCTGTTAAAATATCAGGTTTCTGTGATGTAAAAAAAATATGACAAAGATAAATCATTTCAGAACTTTTTCCACCTTTAATGTGACCTATAAACTGTACAACTCAGTTGAATAACAAACTGAAAGCTTTTAGGGGGAGGGAAGTAAAAATAAAAAGCTAAAATAATATGGTTGTATAAATGTACACACCCTTAAACTAATACTTTGTTGAAGCCCCTTTTGATTTGATTCCAGCACTCAGTCTTTTTGTGTATGAGTCTATCAGCATGGCACATCTTCCTTGCAAAAACACTCCAAATCTGTCAGATTGCGAGGGCATCTCCTGTGCACAGCCCTCTTCAGATCACCCCACAGATTTTCGATCGGATTCAGGTCTCGGCTCTGGCTGGGCCATTCCAAAACTTTCATCTTCTTCTAGTGAAGCCATTTCTTTTTGTTGATTTGGATGTATGCTTTGGGTCGTTGTCATGCTGAAAGATGAAGTTCCTCTTCATGTTCAGCTTTCTAGCAGAAGATTGAAGGTTTTGTGTCAGTATTGACTGGTACTTGGAACTGTGCATTATTCCCTCTACCTGGACTAAGGCCCCAGTTCCAGCTGAAGAAAAACAGCCCCAAAGCATGATGCTGCCACCACCATGCTTCACTGTGGGTATGGTGTTCTTTTGGTGATGTGCAGTGTTGTTTTTGCGCCAAACATATCTTTTGGAATTATGGCCAAAAAGTTCAACCTTGGTTTGATCAGACGAGAACACATTTTCCCACATACTTTTGGAAGACTTCAGATGTGTTTTTTTTGCAAAATTTAGCCAGGCTTGGATATTTCGTAAGAAAAGGCTTCAGTCTTGCCACTCTACCCCCATAGCACAGACATATGAAGAATACGAGATATTGTCACATGTACCACACAGCCAGTACTTGCCAGATATTCCTGCAGCTCCTTTAATGTTGCTGTAGGTCTCTTGGCAGCCTCCCAGACCAGTTTTCTTCTCGTCTTTTCATCAATTTTGGAGGGACGTCCAGTTCTTGGTAATGTCAGTGTTGTGCCATATTTTTTCGACTTGATGATGACTGTCTTTACTGTGTTCCATGGTATATCTAATGCCTTGGAAATTCTTTTGTACCCTTCTCCTGACTGATCATTTTTTAACGAGATCCCTCTGATGCTTTGGAAGCTCTCTTCGGACCATGGCTTTTGCTGTAGGATGTGACTAAGAAAATGGTCAGGAAAGACCTACTAGAACAGCTTAACTTTATTTGGGATTAATCAGAGGCACTTTAAATGATGGCAGGTGTGTACTGACTCCTATTTCACATGATTTTGAATGTGATTGCTTAATTCTGAACACAGCTACATCCACAGTTATAAGAGGGTGTGCACACTTATGCAACCACATTATTTTAGTTATTTATGTTTTACTCCCCCCCCAAATGATTTCAGTTTGTTTTTGAATTGAGTTGTACAGTTTATAGGTCACATTAAAAGGTGGAAAAAGTTTCTGAAATGATTTATCTTTGTCACATTTTTTTACATCACGGAAACCTGAAATTTTAACAGGGGTGTGTAGACTTTTCATATCCATTGTAACTATTTCAAATTAAGTAGTACTTTAAGAGTTAGGCCCGTTTCACACAGAGTGAGCCCCTCAGCATATCCACTTGCTCAGCAGGGGATCTGCCCGCTGAGCAAGCGGATGACAAGTCTGTATCTGCTCCGCTTAGGCAGAGCAGACATGGACACAGTCCACTGTCCTCTATGGACTGTCGGATGGAAACGTACCGCCTATCCGTTTCCATCTGACTGCCATCCGATCATCCAGACGGATGGGGAACGGATCTCTATTCATCTGTTTTTAGCGGACAGGATCAGATCATATGCAGGCTGGTGTGAACGGACACAGGGAGCAATGAAGCATCTGATCGGATCTGTTTGAAAAATGGACAGGTAGACCCAATCAGTCCACTCGTGTGAAGGGGTCTTGCTAACCCTGGACCCTGCATTCACTAAATCTGGTCTCCCACAGTACACAGAACATGACAATGCATTTATTTCAGTAAATATAGATTGCTAAATACCTTTTCTCATCAGCAATATATGCAGTCTTGTGATTTCTATCAGTGTTTGGCTGAGCACGGATTTAAGCTTGTAGGAGGAGTTTTCATTCTGCTCTGACTGTCCTATGAGGCTGTAGGACCCCTGGGCCTCTGTCTGGAGAGCTCTGATTGACCCTGTGCTGATCACATGCACCCTTCCCCCCCCCCCCCCCCAAAAAAAAAAAAAAAAAACCTCCAGCAATACACACTAAACTGAGAATGTGCAGAGTGCCTCCTAAAGATCTGTACTATCAGTAAATGGAGTGAGGACAGTAGAAGAAAGGTAGGATCAGAATTCTTGCACAATGCGAAGGATTAACCTGTTAGGTTCCGCAATGAGTATAACAAGTGTGCTTTACTGCATATACAGACTGATTTTACTATCATGGGTATAGTAACACTTTAAAGGTACAGCTTTTTTCTTTTTCCCTTCACTTCCTGTCCCATAGCCAGGAAGTGAGACGAAAAACCTCTAAAGTGAGGGATACCCTGGTTGTCACCAGGGTCAACAGAACTAGTCTCCCCAAAGGAATCTTTCCCAGTTACTCTGGTTCTGGTCACAACCCAAAATTCAGGAACAGGAAAACCAGACAGGTCCTTGTCTACTATACTTATAAAAAAAAAAAAAAAAAGTTTTGCCTTTATACTTTAGGTCCAATTTAAAGCAAACGATGCTCTAAAATGAAAGGTCCGCTTATTACATACTGCTCCCCTTTCCCATCTAAAATTGCATTATTAAAATAATAAAGTGCATGTGAATAAACTTAGTTTTCACACTGCATAGGATACAATCCTTCAGCAAGATTTGGAGGAATGCCGAGTATCACAAAAACAGCACAGCACTGGGGTGTTTTACTGCGACACTCGAAATCCTCATCATTCTAAGATCTGGAAGGAACAAGGTGTCACTCTCAACTAAGCACACAGCACGGTGGCAATAACCAAAAACAGGAAGTTCCACCCACGGTAGATTAGCATTCATAAATGTCATATCTTTAGTGTTCTGCAATTTATGGATTTGCAATAAAAAGTTGTTCTGATGTTTATAGACACACAATAAAGTAGTTGCTGGAAGGAGTCCATGCTGTCAATCACACTCAAGTCTTACTTGTAGTTCTGTATAAACTGCGCAAAGGCCTCTGTTCGGCCAGACAGCGGGACAATGATATTGATAATTGTCCTGGAGACATCCTGTGTTTCCACCTTGACCTTCATGAGTGGGCCGAACGGTCGGAATAAAGTGATGTGGCGGTAGCTTCCAGATTCCGGTTTCTTGTAGAAGAGCTCATAATGGGAACCCTTATCCCTCTCGGTTCGGTAATATCCTGATAACAATAAGGTGAGAGGAAAATGGTTTGATACCCAGGGATTCCAGTGAAAGAGGACAGATGTAATAAAAAATATTAAATGTGATAAAAAAAATGATTATTTATGGTGGAACTCAGAAACTGCTCTTGATAAGTATCTTAGAAACAAATTCAGTTCACATCAATCCAGCTTGAGTTTACTTACCAAGAGCTCCCCTCTTTGGAATATATGTGCCTTGACTAACATGCTGTCTTTATGGTGACTTACTTACATTGGGTCTGGATGGTTCCCCATTGGGAAGTTGGTCCTTGTGTTTTAAGATTGTGTACAAGACCTTTGGCCGTTTACTGAATTCACCTGAATTTCTCACCCTAGAGCAGGCATGTCCAAAGTCCGACCCGCGGGCCATTTACGGCCCGGGGGTCGGTTTAATACGGCCCTCCAACAGCCCTCCCTGCTCTGTGTAATGTGGCCCTTCCAATGCCCTCCCTTCTATGGCAGACAGTCTTCTGCTTGAGAGCAGAGGGCAGTGCGCATTCCTGACTGCGGCGTGTTCTCCCTGGTCTGTGTAAATGCAGCTGTCGCATGGCCCTCCCTTCTGTGGCAGACAGTCTTCTGCTTGAGAGCAGTGCGCATGCGTGACTGCACCGCGCTGGGAGCGACAGAGGGCGGTGACGTCAGGGCCGGGCTTCCAGCGTGAAGTGTGTTTCTCTTTCCCCCCCCCCCCCCCCCGCTGCTGAGCAGAGACTTCAGCTCCAGCTACCTTTTTCACCCTTTACATTAGTACAGGTAAGTTTTTTTTAAATTTATTTTCAATACATTGTGAAAACTCAGCTGTCAGTTGATCTTAATGTTATGAAATGAAAAGTATGTCGTTTGCAATTAACTTGGCATAAAATAATTTATTTGCATTTAATTGTAATGGTTCAAAGAATGTTCGGAAAAATGTTTGGCCCTCCACCATGTTCACTTCATTCAATCTGGCCCTCTTTGAAAAAAGTTTGGACACCCCTGCCCTAGAGGCAGTGGCTTCACCTTGACTTACTCATTTGCTCCTCTATGGCAACATGCACATGCTATGAATTCTGGTTTACCCTTCTGGCTGCTGGCTGATATGACTCTAATAAAGATTAGGAGTGGGTTCCAGTGTACCGATTCTATCACATGTTCTCCTGAAGGATTCCCAAAACATGGCGAGTCCACATGTGAACTGTAATAGAAATCTTTGCATGCTGTGAACCCCTATGTGGATAGTAATTTTTAATGTTGTGTAGATTTTTAAAGGTACAGGTTTTAACTTATTTAGTAAGTAAACAAAAGATATGGGGCACTGGATTTCAAAGTAGTAGGTGTACTCAGGTCCTAACCAGTGTATAGGGAACAGTTACTCTTAGGCAGCTCTTCCAAGGGCGATGTCCAAAGGTTAGCTGTTCTTTTTTAATAAGGGCTGGCTGTGCAAGAAATTTCAACTTTGATCAGTATAAAGTAGTTGTAGCAATAAAATGGTTTGAGGTATCTGCACAATCATTACTGAACCAATTCCTATGGCTAGGGAAAAGAGCTACAAGTGCATTTAGCAAACTGGTTAAATCTAGAACGGCAGGAGGGGCTGGACATGTCCTAATAAAAGATTATCTAGCCTCCATTCTATCTCAGCTGAAAGCTTGGTTTCCCTTCGCTCCCCATACTCTCTGGGTGGAACTGGAACAATTCCAAGTTCTCGGTAACAACTTATAATTATTTAATAGCCAATCACTTTACTTAACTGAAACAAACCTTTTTTATCTTCTACAATAGTAGCGACCTTGACAACTTGGGGTGCTTTTCTAGATATGTCTGTTAATGAACACCCCACAGAGCTCTATTCAGGGCCGTATCTAGCCTGTCCAATGTGGGGGTGCAGTAAAAAATGTCAGGGGGGCAGAGGATCAGAGGTCAACAGGGGAGAGGACAGGGGTCAATGCTGGCAGGGCAAAAGACAGGGGCACAGCTCTTTCTCCCACATAACACACAGGGCAGTATGGTGGAAGGTTAGAGTAGTATAGTGGCAATATAGTGGCAGGTTAAGGATGGCTTTGGGGTGGGCACAACTAAAATCTGGGGGGGTATAAACCGCCCCAGCATCCCCCTAGATCCGGCCATGCCTCTATCCCCTTCCCTACTCCTAGCCTATCAATTATTATTCCTGACCTTGACATTAGCCAATGGTTGTCTAAAGGCCAACCCTTAAGACCTTCAGATTTTTGCAGATAGAATATGGTATCTCTACCCTAGATTATTATAATCTAGGCTGTCCCTGGTAAGACACTGGAAAGAACCTAAGGCTCCTATAATAGATTAAGTGATCCAAGTGACTCAAACACATACCACATATGAAATACTAATTTGCTACATCTATAGGTAAGCACAAGGTAGCTAACATTTTTGGCAACCATGGACCGAATGGTACAACAATTTTAATTTGTCTAGGGAACAAATCCACTCACTCTGATCAGCCTCTTATTCTTAATGATATGAGATGCTTGACTGATACCTCTGTTTGATCTTTGTTAATTCTTTTTCATGTTTATGGCCTATCCAGGAATCTACTATGTTTCTTCTTTTTGTGATATTCTTAAAACTTACTAAAGATATTATGAAACTAAAATGGTCTAAACAAACCCAATGTGACCTCACTACAATAAAAAGCTTTCATACACCTAAGAATCTAAATATAATGGGTAAATGTTGGGAAAAGGGAGAAGCATCAATTCAAAGCTTAGAGAAATAAAATTCTATCAGTCTTTAGGACAGCTAAAGTGCATAATGCACCCATTGTAAGCATGGAGCCCTTCCACCTACATGTTGTATAAATTAACAGAAATATAAGAAGGCACACAATTTTCATACCTTCAACAAAATCAGTTTCTGTAAATAAAACTTTATCGCCTCCTCGGTTCTCTGGCTCCTCATCATCCTCATCTGGATTATTAATGACCTCCAGGCCAGCTTCTACAACTTCGACTAGTTCATCCCTCCTGTCCTTCCTAATTGGTTTTTCCTCTGGGTGCCGTGTCAGACCCATCTCCAACTGATAAACCTTCATAGAATCAAAACTCTCAAACGGAACAACAGCATATTCGCTAGGAAGTTTAGCACCCACCACAACCTCAGCTTTGTCAATCTGAGAGTGCAGAAATTCAAGTAGATCATTAGGCGGTTGCTCTTTGGTACCCTGGTGTCCGGCACCATTGGCAAGTTTCTTGTCATGTGCAGATCGCAACTTTTCACTCATCTCCTGAAGCTCCTGCTTTAACTGAGCAATCTGGCGCTTTAGACTAGTTGCTCGGCTTTTATAATGCTCCTCTTGTTCCTGAAGAAGAGCCTGGTAGTATTCCTTGCTATACATCTCTCCGGCGATTCCGGGCAGTGAACCATTTCCTTCTGGGGCTGGTGCACATTCCAAGAGATATGTGAGAAGCATTAGGCTGAAAACCAGAGCAAGTCCAACAAGTAACCAACGGGTCTTGCCTTGTAGATATAACCCTCTTCTGGGCATTCTCCTGGAAGTCGTGTTGTATCCTGTACATGAAGGCAACCTACCTACTCTTTAAATAAGGATAATCTCCTACCCAGGATATGGTATCTCACGTCATTGAAATGATATGTTAGTTGTTAAAGGCAAGAACCAAGTTCAGGCCATTCTGTTTCTGTGAGATAAGCCGATTGGGTTGTTAAAAGAAAAATTCAAGTCCTCATTTACAAAAGAGAAAAAAAAAAAATCACTCCGGCATCAAGGTATCTAGTAGGTCTTCGCTTGATAAATATGTCCCTCAACAATTCTCCTTGTTGTCTGGATTTCCATTTATATGTATTCCAGTCTTGCACTCCGTATTCCTTTTATATTCTCAATTTTCTAAAAGAAAATAAAAAAAATAAAATTTTTTGAGAAATGGCAATCCAAATGCAATTAGAAGGAAATCCAATCATATTTACAAGTTCAAAACACTTTCAGATATATTATCATTTATCCCCATGCCTGCCTAGAAATACAGTACAGATCTTCACATTCTCTAAAAATCTAAGGCATACTATAGATGATATGATTTTCTTCCCTGCAACCATAGTCAGTGTTGATGGGGGAATCCCTGCAGCAGCAGCTGTTGTGTTCTCCCGGCAGGGATTTGTCACTGTCGGGAGAACACTGTGCTTGTTGCTAGGAGCTATAGTCATTCGCAATATTCGCATGTTAAAAATCCAACATTCTGGTTGTACACAACTCGTACAACAATCGAATTGGGTACAGTTGGCTTGTCCAAAGATAGTTTGAATCTTGGCCGGTCCCTGCTGAACTGGACGAGATTCCAACTGTCTATGGCCGGCTTGAAGTGTTACTAATCCCATGACCCTACATTCACTATATCAGGTGTTCCACAGTACACAGAACATTGAAATACAATTATTTTAGTAAATATAAACTGATAAATACATTTTCTCATCAGCAGTACATAACAGTCATGCGACTTCTATCAGTGTTTGGCAGAGCACTGCTTAATCTTGTAGGAAGAGTTTCCATTCACCTTTGCCTATCCTATGAGGCTGCATGACACCTGACCCTCTGTCCGGACAGTGCTGAATGGCCCTGTGCAGATCACATGCACCCTCCCGAAAAAAAAAAAAAAAAAAAAAAAAAGCACCTCTAGCAATACTCACCAAACAGAGCATGTGCAGACTTGCCACTGCTGCCCTGTACTATGGCAAAAGGATTGGGGACAGTAAAAAAAAAAAAAAAAAAAAAAAAAAAGTAGGATCAGAGAAGACAGGATCAAACAGCCTTTTTTTTTTTTACACAATGTGGAGGACTAACCCCTTAGGTTCCACATTGAGAATAAAAAGCATGCTTGTTTTATTTTAAGCAACAGACAGCATGGATTCATGAGAGACAGAAGTTGTCAAACAAATCTGATTTCGTTTTATGAGGAGGTGAGCAAAAACTTGGACAGAGGGGGGGGCGGTGGACGTGGTATACTTGGATTTTACAAAAGCGTCTGACACAGTTCCTCACACACAGCTAATGTGTAAGGTAAAGTCTACAGGCTTGGAAAAATCTGTATTTAAATGGGTAGAAAACTGGCTAAAAGATTGTATTCAGAGAGTAGTGGTTAATGATTCATACTCTGAATGGTCTAGGGTTGTTAGTGGTGTAGTGTTGGGACCCTTACTTTTTAATACATTTATAAACGATATAGGGTCTGGGATTAAAAATACCATTTCAGTCTTTGCAGATGACACCAAGCTGTGCAGTGGAATAACGTCCTTACAGGATGTCTCCAATTTACAAGCCGACCTCAATGCACTGTTTAATTGGGCAACTATGAGGGAAATGAGGTTTAATGTTGATAAATGTAAGGTTCTGCACTTTGGGGTTAAGAATATGCATGCATCATACATACTAGGGGGAGTACAACTGGGGGAATCAATGGTGGAGAAGGATCTGGGAGTTCTGATAGATCACAAGCTTAATAATGGCATGCAATGCCAAGCTGCGGTTTCTAAAGTGAGCAAAATCCTCTCTTGTATTAAAAGAGGTATAGACTTCAGAGAGAGAGATATCATATTACCCCGGTACAAATCATTAGTAATACCTCATCTGGAATATGCAGTTCAGTTTTGGGCACCAATTCACAAAAAGAACATTGGGGAACTGGAGAAAGTACAGAGAAGGGCAACCAAACTGATAAGAGGCATGGAGGAGCTCAGCTATGAGGAAAGATTAGAGGAATTGAATTTATTCTCTCTTGAGAAGAGGCGATTAAGGGGGGATATGATCAACATGTATAAATACATCAGTGGTTCATATAGTGAACTCGGTGTAGAGCTAATCACCCTGAGGTCATCACAGAGGACAAGGGGGCACTCTTTACGTCTGAAAGAAATGTAATCTCCAAACACCGAAAGGTTTCTTCACAGTGAGAGCTGTGAAAATGTGGAATAGACTCCCTCAAGAGTTGGTTCTGGTCAGTTCAGTGGATTGCTTCAAAAAAGGCCTGGATTGTTTCTTAGATACACAATATAACTGGATACTAACATTTATAGGTAAAGTTGATCCAGGGAATATCCGATTGCCTCTCGGGGGGATCAGGAAGGAATTTTTTTTCCCTGCAGGAGCAAATTGGATCATGCTTTGCTGGGTTTTTTTTCCCTTCCTCTGGATCAACTGTGGGTATAGGATTATAACTTTTTTTTTTCTATAGTTGAACTGGACGGACTTTTGTCTTTTTTCAGCCAGACTAACTATGTAACTGCATGCATATACAGACTGATTTTACTATTGAGGGTTTAGTAACACTTTGAGACAATGGAAGAAACTTAAAATCCCCAGAATTACCAAGCCATCAGATAAGCTGCATGCAAGCAGCCCTGACACAACATAGGATTCCAGGGAACAAATGGAGCTGGTGGAGGCTGCTGTTGGATATGGTAGGTCGGCGTGTTCAGAACTAAAATATATTAGTATTGTGCAGATCTTTAAAATGTAGATGCGATCATTTGCGCCATTTTTGCAGCATTTTAATATCACATTACCATGCAAGCTATACAGCTAATACAGGCCCTTACCTGTGCATCATTTCTATCTTTAGAATATAGAATACTTTTTTTCATAAGATGTAAAAAAGAAAAAAAACCTGCAAAGTAAAGTACACAAAAAGAGGATATTGTTACAAAGTGTTCTCCAGCCCCATGTTCATGTGTGTTTAGTCATATCCTCTACGGACAAGTGTGCGGGTTACAAGATGGCATCCCCCCAAAAAGTAAAGGCAGACAAGAACCAATTAAATGTACGGAAACCAGAGTCGTATGAGAAAACTGTTACATCACTTTACCCGCAATTCCAAAAAAAAAAAAAAAAAAAAAAAAAGAGAGAGAGAAAAGGAAAAAAATGCTTTAACTTCCAAAGTGTATGAAAGTAACTGGTGTTCATTTTTCCTTTTTCTAGTACAGTTTGCAGGTCTGTACTTAAATGGCCCGGGGACCTGAGACTTGCAGGATTTACACATCACTGTGCTGGGAAGACCTTCTTTATCATCCTAGGACAATTAGGAAGCTGAAACCTGGGGCCCAAGAATTGGCACCCCAATAATACGGTTATGATGAGTGACTACACCATGTACAATTAGCATATACTAGTATTCTATGGACATACAAACACTGGTGATGTGCAGTCTAAGGACACGGAATCAAGAGTCTTTTATTGGGGCACAGAGATTTCCAATGAGATGAACAGATGACAATGTTAGGCCTGGTTCACACCCATGCGTTTTTGGTGCTCTTTGCAGACACACACTAGAGTCCATTTAACATGGTTTCCTATGGGACACATTCACATCTGTGCTTTTTCAGCCGCTGCGTTTTTGGAAAGGGTCAGGGACTTTTTTTTTTTTTTTTTAAAGCAAAAGCGGTGCATTTTTGGTTCAATACACTTCCAATAGAAACACTGCAGTATAGCATGTAGTTTGATGCGTTTTGCACTTTTTTTAATGTGCCCAACAACAAACTAGCCAAAACAAAAAAGCATAAAAACACAAATCGCATCAAAAAAAGCAGAAAACCACGTGTGCAAAAACGCACCACAAAAAGCACTGCAGGAATGTCTCAAAAGCAAACTGCATAGGTATGAACCAGGCCTTATAGTCAAACTCCAACCAAAAAAATGGGTCTAGTTGTCAATGAAATCTATCTGGTTCTAAATGTGGTGTCCCTGTTGTGAGAAGTATTAGATATGATTCAGACTGCCATAAAATGCTATTGGAAGTTCCAACTCCCCACTAGACTTTTTTTTTGTTAATGCTGCCTGTCCCCATTCTGGAGATTTCTTCTCACTACCTGTTCTGTCCAGTGCCATCAAGGAAGTTAGAAGAATTCACCCAGAACACAAGTCAAAAGCAAAGGCTTAAAAAAAAAAAAAAAAAAGTGTTTTTTTTTTTTTTTTTTTTTTATTCTTTTGGCTGTACGCTATTCTGATTTTCACTTACAAAAAAACAAATATTTTAAAAGATAAGTGTAAATGAAGAGTAATTGCAGGTTTCTGATGCAAGGAATCCCTGGAATACCATTAGAATGAGTCTTCCACAGCAGTCCAGTATTCCAGCAGAACAGAGCGTCATTCTCAAACCAAAAAACATATCGATCAGCAAGTCTGCTCTGGGCAAAAAGGTTCTCGACTTCCAGAGGTCACAAATTATGCAGAAACCTGACCTGACCTCACTAAGTCAATTCAGGTTGGCTGCTGTGATCTGTACATAGGGGTCAATTATTAACAACTTCCGCACTCTGGGCAAATTTGACATTTTTCACATACATGTTAAAATCAACATTTGTTTGCTAGAAAATGCCAAGTTACCAGTTTAGAGCTAAGCATGAGCTCTGGTGTTGAAGTTGTGAATATCATTCTGACGTTTGTGGTGATGACTCATGTGGTGCAACAACTATTTACATATGTGTGCGGAAGCTACATGTGCATTTGCGCGAGCACGGGGGAATGGGGTGCTTTCATTTTAT